CGTCCAGCGGTCATCCGAGAGCGTCGGATCCGATGCCGTCGTCTGGTGACGCGAATGCCGACAGGCTGCTGCCAGAAGTCGACATGGCTCCTCAGTCGCGCTTCGCTGACGGTCGACGAGCGGCCAGTAGCAATGCAGCGATTGGAGGTGGAACGACGAGCGGCGCTGTCGGACTCTCGAGTGTGCCAAAGGCGCTGCAAAATCCGTCATCGGCAGGTCGAGATCGAGATTCTGGCTCGTCATTTGCGTCAGTCAGGTCGGATCAATCGTTGTCAGCTGGGTCAGCATCATCACCTGCCATCAATCGACGAATGCAAAATGCAACTGCTCCACCAAGCGAGTATGAACCTGGTGACTACCAAGGCTCATCAAGTTCGACGTCCATCAACAACGGTCGATCGTCGCTTCGACGACAATCTCATGCTCACAGTCCACCTTCGTCAGCTAGAAGTTCAACAAGCGGTCCGATCACTCCTGCTCAAGATCAACCTCCAATAGTCGTTCAAGAACTAGACGAGTTCGGTGATCCAATCGACGATGAGGGCTCAGCAACTTGGTTCCCGGTGAATCAGCCAGCTCACAAGATGGTCAACGCAGCAAACGACGAAGGCCTGTCACCGATGAGACGGCAGATGAGTGAACCTGGCGCCACAACAGCTCGTGCTGGGGACGACGACACAGACACAGATACCGCAAGAGCCAACGAGTGGGCTCAGACAATGCTTGAACGATTTGGTTCAGTATCGATTGATGGCGAACGAACTTTGACCGGCAAGCTGAGACAGGAAGTGGAAGCTGCTACTCGTTCACGACCACCATTAGCTCCTGCAGCGACTCAGCAACTGTCGTCTTTGTCGTCACTTGACGAGTTTGGCGATGACCCTGAAGAGGATTCAACCTACTTCCCTGGTTTCGGTCCCACTAAGCCCAAGATGGACACGGAAGCCACGCCAGTCGTGTCGCCAAGCACGAGATCACCTGCCATGCAGTCTGACGAACACGTCATGCCCACTGGAACAGATATGAGCAAGTCACCATCGGGCGATCGATCTAAGAGGCCGAACCTGCGACTGCAGATCGAGGCGACAAACCCACAGTCACCTTCACCGAAAACCACCGCCGGCGACAGCTCGACAACCTTGCAACAACAGCAGCAACAGCAACGAAGGGCAGCGGCTGTTGGCGAGCCTGGAGACTTGTCTTCTCACATGTCGAGTAGACGACTCGAGTTTGCAGACAAGATCTGGGGAGCTTCCTCGGGTGGCAAGAATCACAGCGGCATGTTGCTCGCTTCACCGGCTCCTTCACACATCAGCGGTCGACGCAACTCTTTCCGAGCAAGAGAAGATGACAATGATTGGGCAATTCGACCTGCTGTTGAAACCGTTCTCGAGAATTTGGACGTCTACTTTCCTGATGTTGATCTTGACAAACCCGTTTTTGAATCACCTGGTACACCCGCCCCTTCGACACCATCACCAAGTCGCGAGACTCATGGCAATTCAACTCTGTCAGCTGGATCGTCATCGTCGACGACAATGTCGGCCAAAGACTCGGCAACATTGACATCGCTACCACCACCGCCAAGACGGTCTTTGCCACCAGCTGTTTCCAATTCGAGTGCAGCGGCGAGTGGTGGAGGTGCGCATCTGGGTCACAAGAAATCAATTCGAGTTGTTGCACAAGATCGAAAACGAGCGATGCAGAAAGCAGGTCGCAATGTTGTCACGGCGGTCAGTGGCATTGGTTCAAACTTGTTGAGGCGCAAGAGTACGAAATTGTTTGGTGCCAGGATTGAAGAAGTCACTTCTGCACAAATGGGTCGATTGAATCCTGGTACAATCAAAGAGCATCCTGACGACGATCCGCAGAATTGTGAGCTCAACTCTCGTTTAACGACGCTTTTGATCTCGAGAGCTGACCTTGTCTTGCCTCGGAACAGTCTCTTACAAGTGGATCAAGGGAGACTTGATCGGTCGAGGAACGTTTGGTCATGTGTACATTGGCTTCAGTGTCAACACAGGCGAGACGATCGCTGTCAAGCAAGTCGAATTGCCAAAGAGTCAGCACGACAAGGAGGATCAGCGAATCAAGGGCATGGTGCAGTCACTCAAGGCTGAGATCGAGTTGCTCAAGGATCTAGACCATCCCAATATTGTGCTGTATCTAGGTGAGCGCTCGCGTTCGAGCTCAATCAAGTCAGCTTCTCAGTCTTAATACCTTGTTCTCCCGCAGGCATGGAGCAGACGCCAGAATTTTTGTCGATTTTCCTCGAGTACGTGCCCGGTGGTTCGATCGGCAGGATCGTTCGAACACATGGCAAGGTGAGCTTGCGTTTTCCAATCAAATCAATGCCGTTCGTTGCTGACTGGTGGCGTACGACAGTTCGAGGAAGCGGTCATCAAGTTCTTCACGGTCCAGATTCTGGAAGGGCTCGAGTACTTGCATTCGCTTGGTATCCTGCATCGTGACATGAAAGCGGACAACATTTTGACAGATCATGATGGCATGTGCAAGATTTCTGATTTTGGCACGTCAAAGAAGAGTGGTGAGTGTCCTCACCACGTCTAGCGCTTTAAGTCGTTTGCTCAAATTGGTTCTTTTCGCAGCCGATATCTACAACAATAATGAAAACATGTCGATGCAGGGTTCGATATTTTGGATGGCACCAGAAGGTGAGTCTCGAACTCGTCTATGCCAGCTCGACCTGCAGGCCGACACCTCGTGCCTTTTGACGCAGTCATTCACAACAAGAACCAAGGCTACTCTGCCAAAGCCGACATCTGGTCTCTTGGTTGCATCTTGATTGAGATGTGGGCTGGCCGTCGACCCTGGAGTGACGAAGAAGCTATCCAGGCCATGTTCAAGGTGCGCATCCTACAACAAAATTGGAGTGTTGAGCTTGATTCTGACACTCGTAATCCTGCAGCTGGGTGCTGAGCGACTTGCGCCACCGGTGCCGCCTGATGTCACTCTGTCTGAGCTTGGTGCCGAGTTTCTGCACCAGTGTCTTGAGATGTAAGCACGATCGGATTGACAGCTTGTCTCGAGAAGCTATTGCTCATCGCGTCTCTGGCTTCAGTGACTCTAATCGACGACCAAAAGCTCACGAGCTCAAACAGCATCGATTCCTCGAGCTCGATGAAGACTGGTCCTTTACTCAAACGAGCTTGTACAAGTGAGTAACAGTCGCCATCTGTGTACCTGAGTCGCATAACTAACGACTAGTCTTTCGTGCAGAGTCATGGCCGACGAAGAAACCCGACGTCGATCCCTCGTCACCCCTCCACCTCAAGCTGTCAACGTTTAGAACGAAGTTTTGTTCCCGCTCTGTTTTCATTCGTTTCCTTTCTTTGCTTTCGGGGCATTGTTGCAGTAGTAGACATGATGTTACAACAATTTTAATCTTTTTGTCGTTTCTTTTCGAATTCACTCTGCTGGAGGTTTGCGCCACAGCATCAACGGCCGAGAAAAGCCCCCCTGGAGGAAAGGGATTGGTATCAGTTGCATTCCAGAAAAAGCTTGTGCAATGGTGCAAGATACCTCTTCGCGCGGTATCGTCTCGATCAACTCGAATCCAATCGCATTCAGATCGTCTTCAAATGGTGGCCACATCTGAATCGACCTGTGGTCGGACGTGATTGCATAAGCTCGGGTCAGCACGTGCTGATACTATGCGACTCACTGAAAAACAGGTCTCAAGTTCTTGTTCTTGCGGGCCGCTTTGGCATAGTTTTCTCGCTCCTGAGGTTCAACGACTAGGGTCCCTCCTGAGGGCAACGCCTCGAACAGCGTTCTGAACAATGCCCTCAGACCTTCATCGCCAGCATGAAGATGAAGCCACTTTGTCACACTGAGTAACAGTATTGTGTCCCATTCGTTGCGGGCGATCGCACCAGGTTGAGTAAAATCTCGACATTGCCACTCGACTTTGTCAGAATCAGGTTGAGCTCGTGCCTGATCGATCAAGATCTGATCAATGTCGACACCTGTTGCCTTTTGAGCTCCCAAATACGTCATTGTTTCTATCGTGATCTTGCCTGCATTGCAACCAAGGTCGAGAATTCTTTTTTGTTTGAACAAGTCAACGGGCAACAGAGACAAACGAGCGTCAGGTACACTTTGCTGACGATGGAAGTAGTAGTTTGGGTAATTTCCATGTTCTAGGTTCTGATGTCGTGCTCGGTCGCGAGCTTTGTTCGATACAGCAGCGTCCGCCGTTGCCGTCAATTCTGCCATGAGCGTGGACAGCACGCTGATGTGCACCGAGGATGACCGAGATCAAGACACTACTTCAGTCTGAGTATGTACCAGAGCTGGACGGATTTGAAGTGTTGAGGGCGCGTTGTGAAAAGACGCTCGAGCCGCATCAGCCCGTCTTCGATTTGCACAAATTTCTGCTTATCAACTTCCCAGAGAAGGAGTCTGGCGATACTAAGGCGATGGAATGGAAGCGAAATGAAGACCCTGATATTGACGGGGGAGATCTCGGACCGACTTTCAGGTGAATTACGACACGAATCGCTCTGGTGAGACTTGGTGGCGACAGAAGAGGTCATAGTGTTTGAAATAATGCCTATGATAGGCTTGAGAGTGACTCGATTCCCCTTTTACATGTGAGGGAGGCGCTGCTTGGCTCAGGCACGTGCATACGACGTCAAAAATATCGACTGCTGGTCTGATCATTATGCATGCTCTTCGTCTTCTATACCCCTTCTGTTGCAACAGAACCTAATCAAGCACGAAATGGACCACTCTGGGAGACTCCACAAAACCGTCAAATTGCACGATACGAATGTACAGCGCATGTGCCCGCACGCGAGAGAATTCGCTGCGAGTTCGTCTTCGCCCACAAGATCGAGGGTCGGAGACAAGGCACAAAGCTCTGTGCAGCCGAGAGAAAGGACGTCCATGGTTCAGATGGCTATTCTGGCGCAGAATTAGGACGTGTTTTGAGCCTCTTGGGCTGGGTGCCACCTTCGATATTGGCATTTTTGTTGGCGCGGCTGGCGAAGTGGTAACGCGTCTGTTTCCCATAACAATACGTTATTGGGATTTGCAGGAGCTCGTGGGTTCAATCCCCGCGTCGCGCATGATTGTTTTTTTTTCACGTTATCCCCAATTTTTTCCAGCTGTCGGAGAATTCGGAAGTCGAGGGCGGGACAGACGTTCGAAACTGAGGACGTTTCCTCCAAATCGATCGATTGCGCTACGCTCAACACTCCTGAAACGCGGAATGAATAACTCACTGGTACCTTGTGCTTTATGGAAAAAACGATTCCTGTGCTCAGATACGCGTAAGTGACTATCAAGCAGCGTTTCGCGCCTGGCTGGTCACCGGTCCAGTCATTCCTTTTCATATTGCATCTCTGTTGTAGGCACCTAAGGGGCCTCACATGATACGTCCAGACGATCAATCGACCACTGCAAATTTACATTTACAAACAAAGCAAGCATGTGCATGATCTAACCAAGAAAACCGAGGAACACTACTCTATGCCACGTTGGAAGGGTACAAAAAGTCTGTCGGTGGAACAAAGTTTTCCTTGATGGCTCTTGGTTGAACGAAACGCATGTAGATTGACATTGAACCAGCCTTGTCGTTGGTGCCAGAGCCTCGAGCACCACCGAAAGGTTGTTGACCAACGACAGCGCCAGTGCATTTGTCGTTGATGTAGAACATGCCAGATGCATTGCGCAACAAGTTATTGGCTTTGACGATGGCACTTCGGTCAGTCGAGAAGACGCAACCAGTCAAAGCGTATGTTGTTGTACCGTCGATCAACTCGCAAACTTTTTCGTAATCGGCATCGTCGTACACGTAAGTGGTCAACACTGGACCAAAGATTTCGTCGACCATGGTGGGTGACTTGGGATCCTTGGTGACAATGACGGTAGGGTGGACAAAGAAACCAGTCGAATCGTCACCGGTACCACCAACAATGACCTCGCCGCCAGCGGCTTTGGCCTTTTCAACGTAGCTCAAGCATTTGTCGTACGACGCCTTTGAGCTATGGCATGAACACGTGAATTAGTATCGCGATCGCGGGGTGGACAAAACTTTTTAGGACTCACATGACGGGGCCCATGAAGTGTTCGAATGCATCAACGGGGCCTTGCGTAATCTTCTTGACCTCTGAAACGAGCATGTCCTGGAACCCACTCTCCCACAATGACTTTGGCACATACAATCGCGACAAAGCCGAGCACTTCTGACCCTGATACTCGAATGCGCCACGAACGGCTTGAACGACCGACGCTCGAATGTCTGCACTTTCGTGGACGAGTTGCCAATTCTTGCCACCAGTTTCACCGACCATACGAGGGTACGAAAGGTACTTGTCCATGTTGTTGGCGATGCTCTTCCAGAGCGACTTGAAGACGGCAGTTGAACCGGTAAAGTGCAATCCAGCAAACAATCGGTGAGAGATGGCGCGGTCGACGAGTTTAATCGTGTCGTCACCGTTGGGGCAAGGCAAGAATTGAATAACGTTCTTGGGTAGACCGGCTTCGTGCAAGATTTGCAACACGAGCCACGAGGCGTATGTGGCCATAGGTGAAGGCTTCCACAAGCAAACGTTGCCAACGAGAGCTGGCACAGCGACCAAGTTGCCACCAATGGCAGTGAAGCTACAAAAATTGAATCATCAGATCACGGATATGGCACATGCGCTCTTTCAAGGGCCACTCACTTGAATGGGGTGACGGCGAAAACGAAACCTTCAAGAGGTCTGTACTCGACACGGTTCCAGACGCCGGGGGCATTCTCCGGGGGTTGCATGCCGTACATTTGTTCAACTTGAGCGCAACCGAATCGCAAAAAGTCGGCCAACTACACATTGCACAGCCGACTCCACGTCAGCTGACCGTCGAGCAAGCATGAGATTCCGGAGCGAAGGCTTACCTCTGCAGCAGCATCAATTTCTGCTTGCCAAGCATTCTTGCCTTGTCCGAGCATGGTGGCAGCGCACAACTTGGCGCGGTACTTGCCTGAAATGAGGTCGGCAGCCTGTTAAAAAGCCAGAATCGTGTCAGCTCAATTGCGGGACACTCGTGAGGTCGGACGACATCGGATCGAATCCGATAGTGTCTAACAAGGTACGAAAGCGATGTGATCTACACAACAACACGTGAATCGCAAGCACTGACCTTGAGGAAGATGGCTGCGCGATCGTTGAACGGCATGTTCTCCCACTCTGGCTTCGCCTTCAGTGCACTCTCGATAGCTTGGTCAACAAGCTCAGGGGTGGCAGTAGAGAATGTGCACAGGTTTTTGGCATGCTTGTGTGGCATAGGTTGGCTAGATTCAGCACCAGATTTGGGAACCTAGGTTTCAACGTCACGAGACCGTATGACGCGGCAAGGACTGCCTGTCAGCGACTGTTGATGGTACGCAAGAAATCAGTAGCAATTACTCAATACTCACAGCCTTGCCATTGACGAATGCAGGCACGTAGAACGGTGCGCTAGCTTCCGTTTCCTTCAACGCTTGCTGCAGAGCCTCTCGCTCGGGTGACCCAGGCTTGTAGTGAACGTTGGGCTCGTTGACCACCTTGGGCAGCTTGTAATGAGCATTCATGGGTGTGACAGACGACATGGCTCGTTGAATGAAGAAGAAGAACAAGAAAATCGCGAGCCGAAGGAAGAGAGGGGCCGAGAGTCCGCAGCTTGCGGCACCTCGGCAAACGTCGGCGGCGGGTTTTCGAGTTGCACTCGTCGCGTTTCTGTCTCGCTCTCGACTTGCCAAGCTTTGTGTATAATACGAATCGCGCTCTCAGCCAGCAATCTGTGCGCCTGCGCTCTCGGCTATCATGGCAGAGTCAAATGCAAGCACGTGACTTGAGATTCCGACCGGCTTTTGTCGGCAACTTTCGTCACAATGAATCGAACTTGAAAGATGATGCAATGGTGTTACAACAACCCAAACTATATAATGGATCACAAAAACTGTCTCGTCGCTATGGCCTCGGGCTCTCGCAACCCGGCGAGACGAGTGGAGACCGGACGGGCGATGACAAGCTACGACTCGACATCATAGGCGCGGAGAACATGTCGTCTTTGTCCAATGGCGAAGGAGTTGGTGGGACGCCCAGAAGTGGGGCTAGTTCGCGGCGCACAAGGCAAACGCAGAGATTTCAGCGAAGTTTCGAGAGCTTGGCATTGGTCGAGACTCACTATAAACACCTCGGTCGGCCACAGCTTGTCTAACCAAGAGCATTGGAGTGCGTCGCCCCCTTCTACAAGCGAGCATCACAAGCGTCAAGATCTTGCATAGGGGGAGCCATCGATCGGCAGTTAGCTAAGCAAGACAGTAAGTACGCTCAACTTCGACTCACCAACGCGGAAGGTAACAGCATCCTCGTGTCGCGCTTCAAATCCTCCAAGAGCAGCTTTTGACACGACATCGTATTCCCAATGCTCTCGAGGGTGTCGTATCGTCGTGTTTCGGACACCGTCAAGCATTTACCCTGATGTCGTGCGCGGAATGTCAACCTTTAGCTCGTCGGACAATCTCAGATTCTGCGCAACACTGACATCAAAACCGACGGCAGCCACTGCATAAAACTCGTAGCTGTCAGGCAACCTCAAAGTCGTTTCAAACCCACTTCGTGGCGCTGCTTCAAGCGTGTGCAAGCTAGTTTGTGAATTGCCCCCGAGGACTTTCCATCTAGTCACTTCGGTTGCACCATTCCAGCTGGCGAATCCCTTATCTCCATCAATGTCATCTATAACGAATGACGGCAGAGTCTGAGGGTTCCCGACCCATCGTTCCTGTCACAGCAAAAAACAATCAGCATGGCTCGTTGAGAAGAGCGTTGCACCGTAGACGGACTTTTCTGGTTCTGTACGAATGCAATCGTGTATCCGAGGGACCAATCTCGACGTCATGGATGAGTGTGCCATTTGAAAGATATTCACTGAACGCAGGCACAATGCCCCAGCCTACGACAACGTGCCCGTTCGACAGGATCTGTGCAAAGTCGTGATAGTGTCCGACACGTGAGATAGGAAGATTGGAAGTCAATCAATCAGGGCAGACTCACTTGCATGGAGCCTTCACTTGGTGCCACGTGCTTGAAAGTGGGATAGAATGCTTGCTTCAAGTGGACCTTCATAGTTGTGCGATCAACATCGAGGATGAGTCCCTTAGCTTCACCTTCTCGCTGTTTGTATCTGCAGTACGAGCATACTTCAGGATCTTGCGGGTTGATGCTTTTGCCTTCGAGACTTACTGATTTGCCTCGTTGTCGAATAGTGTGATCAAAAATTGATTGTCCGTCCCCTTGCCAATGATTCTGGCATCGTGTTGGGCAAAGAAAGAGGCATTCTTGTCGATGCTAAAGTCAGAGAGGTGGCCTCCCAATCGCCAAAGAATCTCGCCTGAGCGCCCGTCGACGTAATACAATGTCGATGGACCGCGCATGCCTACTAAAAAGTTTCCGGCATCATCTTTCTTGACCCTGGTCCAACACGTCGCGGCAAAAGATTAGTTTCAGCCATAACACTTGATGACTCGGATGAGTACGAAGGGCTTACGAATTCAGATGAGCACTGAGGCGCGAAGATCCCTTCAGGTTAGTGTAGGTCCAGTGTGCGAGTCATGGCAAATCGATATGCTCACAAGTCGAATACTGTCGGCATGCAAGAGACATACGAGATCTGGGTCAGCTTTCTGGTGACTAGTTTAACATCTGGCAAATCGTGTCATTAATAGGAACACACCTCCGTCTTTTTTGCCGGTTTGCCCGTCCCTTAAAACATAGTCTGATTCAGTCACGCTAATGTGATCCATCATACTCCACTCAAACAATAAATTGCCGTTTTCGATGTCGATTTCTTGCACTACGCAATTGTAAGCCCAGCCCTCGCTCGGGCCATCAATGTCTTTGAGATTGATGGGTTGCTTGATCCAGTATTCAATTACTGCAGTATCATCTGCTGTGATCTGAAACTGAACATGTTGCGTCTAGCTGTCAATTGCATGAATCTTGACAAGACGCCAAAAGGTTTCAGAGCGGTGCGACGTCAACTCACGTCATGAGGATCCGTCTGCAGCCGAGCCAGGAACAATCAGTATGTGATTAAATATTGA